ATCGACAAAAGTGGCACAACCAGCGTTGACTCAAAACGAATTTTTCTTGAAAATCCCCAGCTTTAAAGGACACCAGAAAGAAAATTTTTCATTTTATGTATGTAATTCTCTACAAATTTTAATTCTGCTGTTTATAAATTACATATTGTGGACAGGTAGTGATTATATTGCACTGAAGATACCACAATTCTGTCAATTGTAAGTTTTTATGAGACAACAGATCCTGTGATCCCGTGATGCAATACAAACCAGTCATGAAACAGAAACAAGGCTAGCAAGACAGAAAGGAGACAAGATTTGTGTTGCACATTAAAATGTTGAATCCATTTCTGAGAGCTGCACATAACTATATCTGTTGAACTATGTGTTTAGAATTGTTAAAAAAGTAATGTAATTTTAACAAATAGTTACACATTGTGTTTTGTGCAAAAATGTCATAAGGATTAAGTGATGGTGCCCAATGTAAAAATTTACAATGCAATAAATTTGTTTAAGAGATTCAATTGTATTAGATGTAATTTCATTACCTACCACCAACACACCACCTAAGGACTAATATTTTGAAAGTATACATCCAACACTGAAACACAGAGATAATACTAAATTCTGGGTGAAGAGACGAGAGCAGGTACAGACTTTTGTGTGAAATTTATTTTAAACCAAATAGGGCCTTTACAGCTTCCCATAGTTTAAGGTCTTGCTATGTCTAAATCCGACACTAGATGAAATAATCAAAACCTATTCTTCAAGAAATTGAAGGTTAAGATTAAACATTATTCATGTAAATTTCAGATTTTTAAAAACTACAACAGTACTATAGTAAAAAATATTTTTAAAAAAAATTGTCATCAATTAGCTTAAATCCCATGAATGATCACTGAATACTGTAATTTTGTCTACTACAAGCAAAAGTGTATCTCCATTTCCGCCAAAGAAACTCTGCAAGTTAACACCCGACTTTCTATACAATATGTAAAGTTTTATTACCATTATTAAATTAAAAGAAATAAATAATCTTACCATGCAGTATATGTACCCCCCAAACTAATTCAGAATAAATATTTTCATTCAGTAAACAGTGTTACATGCCTTAAGACAAACCTAAGGAAAAAATGTGGGAAAATCAGTTGCCACATACACAGTGACTGCAGATTTGAAGTGTCAAGATGAAGTCCTTACATGTCGTTAAGTTACAACAAAATATGCCAGTTAATTCCTGGTGCTTACATACACACATTGTCAAGCATGGTTCGATCCGCAGTCCTTTTCACAAGATAAAAACAAGGATAAAGATTAACTGTTAATTAGTCACACTGGCTTTATTGCTTGTGTACTTAAGTCAAAACTTAAGCTGTTTAGCCAGAGCTGACCAAAATAAGAAAAAGGGCCTTGTCCTGGAGGATTATAATTTGTATCACGGAGAAATGGCACATCCCTTGATTGCTCACACACTGGGGCAAGGGGGTGGGAGTCGGTAGTTGCCTCCCCCCAATTTCTATTATCAGCCAGTTAATGTGAAATATTGATTTATACCTGGCCTTTTCTTTTCATCACTTCTATTTTAATATACAAGGGATAGTTTTATATCAGTTCCAGTCACTACAGATTACCATTTATACATACTACATGTAACTGGCATAGACTGAAAGGTTCTATTTTGTTTGTTTTATTTCTTAAATTTTAAGATTACTGAAAATTGAGTTTTCTCGAAACACCACTGTGTTAGGGGTTTAAAATCTTACTTTTAGCAAAGTTTCCATTTCATTAAAATCAGATCTCAGTTTCTCTTAGGATAGCAGTGATTTGATTTAGATTGTGCCATGTTGTGGCTGTGTCAACATCCTGAAAATACATTTACCCCTCTTCATGGTATTCATTTCCTCAGGCTAACAATTTTTGTTTTCTACTAGCCCAATGGGCATCTCAATCTGAATACAGGATGGGACCAGACTAAAATTAGAGGGACCCCGGATGTCAGGCTATATAATTTTGTTAACACTGCTGGTGTAGATGAAAGATCTGCAAAATGATTGATGTATTTTTGGGTCACTTACTTGGCCTTCTGCCTATTTTCCTAATTCACACATTTAACACTATTATGCTGGCAACTGCCAGTAGGTATGCTGGAGTCGCTACTATGATGTCACATCACAGAGGTAACAATAGGTGCTGAAACTTTGCATACAAGGTGGAAATTCAGCACCTTGATGATATTTAAATATTGGCATTATGGTTGCAGATGATACTTCTGAATAAGGTTTGCTTCTATTATTATTCCATATTTATATTGATTTCTGGTCTCCTTTTAAGTTATAGCATGTATGGACATACAGTTGTTGAGCCCACATTTTGCCTGGCTTCAGTATTGTCAAATGCATGTGGGGTCTGAAGAAATGCCTCTTCACATCAATTTTCAGGAAATGAAGCCTATAATCAATGCATTTCACTTCTGTAAAGACCAATTCTTTGTGTAGGTAGTTCTAATCATGTTGATCAACTCAGTGGTAGTGACATACTTCTTTAAACAAGGAGAAAACAAATTCCCCAACCTATGAGTTCAGGTTTGACAGGTGTTTTTTAAAGTAATGCTCTCAGCTCAACATAAACATAAAAATCAGATACTATCCTGGCAAACCCAATGTCCTGGCTGGCTTTCTTCAAGAAAAGGCCAGATTATTTATACCAAATCATCCAAGCATTAATCTGTCTTTTATTAGATTTATGCACTTTGAGGGCACAAGAAGATAATCTTTTTGTGAAAAAGTGGATTCACAAACTGTCCAGACCCAGAAGTGCACTCAATCAGTTAGGAGGAGCTATAGTCCTTTACCTACCCACCCCCAGGCTTAGTACAGACGATAATACAAAAATTGAGGAATCAGAACTGCAAGCTGTTTCTGACAGTCACTCTCAGATGGGACATATCATGGGTCAGTGATTTGATTTAGCCTGGGTTAATGCCATGCCAGAAAATCCCACATTCTGAAGTATTCCATTACTGTCTAGACTATCTCATTTATGTTAAGCTTGTTAAGCAAGCCATGTGAGGGAAGAAATTGAAACCTTCAACTGTGGAGTGAATCTCGAAAACAAGAAGGTCCTCCACTTTGAAGGTATATGAATGTCAATGGTGTGTATTCAGAAACTGTTACAAAGTTAGCAACATCATCCTTTTGACTTCATGAATCCCACAACTAGTTGACTTTTTTTTTCTAGCTATTCAAGGAGAAAATGTTGGCCCAGATTACCATCCAAGACTGCCACTCCATGATATCCCACACTTTCAGATATCATGGCAGAGTTTACATTGGTCATGATAAACTGGTCAATTTTGACCTGAATAGTCCAAACTCTCATTCCGTTTCTAAAGTGGCATTTTCTTGGGTTCTGACATGGCTAAATCTGGATAAATTTGAGTCCTCACTGAAATTACTATCATACAAGACATGTTTCCTGATAGCTTTAGTTTTGGCATGGAGGGTGAGCAAGGTAATGCCAAGTCAGTGGACCAGAACTATATTCAAATCAGATCAGCTGGTTATATGGTCCTAGAGATACAGCCAGCCCGTGTAGCCAAGAATTGGTTGTCATCAGCGGGCAATCCAAAAGGTTGTTACATGCCCCTCACCTGTATAGCTAAGTCAAGAAAGGCATTACAACAAAATCCTATCCAAGAACTCAAGCACACAATAAAAAAATCTGTCAGAAATGAAAACATCACTTTTTTTTCTGGTCAAGACTGGAAAAGGGGATACAACACATCAAGCCCTTTCATCCAGATTAATTTCATGATGACTACAAAGTTTTGACAGATTTGTACAGTCCTAATATGCTGAACATCAAAGGAGCCATCTTGGTTGTGGTTACCATGCCGGTCTCATAGCTGAAATGGTACAGTTTCAGATTTTAATATCAGATTATCCCAAGTTAAATACCATGGTGTCTCTATGGACAAGCACATTACTCAAATTGCCTCAGCATTAAATAACCTGCTTGTGTTTGATGTTCTGTAAAACTAGTGCCATCTTAACAACATTGTAGACTCTGGGCAAAGCAATACACTGGAAGCCCACTACCAGCCCTACTATTCATTAACAATATGGGCAGCATGATGCCCCATGAAACATGATGCCCTGGGCAACTGCCCATGCCTTAAGACAGCACTGTGTAAAACACCAACCAAACCAAGCGACATCAACTGCTAATGCAACTGAAAATTAATGATGATCAATCTAAAAATTGGTTAAAGACTGGTTCATCTCTTAAATGAATATGCCTGCATATAAGTTCTCTTTCAATACACTTGCCTTCACTGATCTAATGCATTACCTGTGCTTAAAACATTCTCAATAATTGTAGAGGTTCATATTTATCAAGTCCTAATACAGCATAAAACATTCTCAATAATTGTAGAGGTTCATATTTATCAAGTCCTAATACAGCTTAAAATATTCTCAATAATTGTAGAGGTTCATATTTATCAGGTCCTAATACAGCTTAAAACATTCTCAATAATTATAGAGGTTCATATTTATCAAGTCCTGATACAGCTTAAAACATTCTCAATAATTATAGAGGTTCATATTTATCAAGTCCTGATACAGCCTAAAACATTCTCAATAATTGTAGAGGTTCATATTTATCAAGCCCTAATACAGCCTAAAACATTCTCAACAATTGCAGAGACTCATATTTGTTAAGTCTATATGCAGCAAAAAAAATTCTAGTAATTATAGGTTCATATTTAATACTAAGCTGCCAAGTGTCCCATTTTTCCCATATTTGTCCCACATTTTGGACCTGAATATGGGTGTACTTTTTTTGTTGTTGCAAAACATACATTTTATTATAAAAACAATAATAAAAAAAATTCCTTGCAATTTTCAGTTTGAAATGGGCACTTGCTTCTATTCTGATATATCTGAAATATATCACATGTATAGGAATACAGTTCTACAATATGATTGGTTCATTCGAAATCGAGGCTACCAAGCCTTTAAGACTACTCCAGTGGCCTAGTGGTTAGAGCGTCCGCCTCAGATGTGGAAGGTTATGGGTTCGATCCCCAGCCGAGTCATACCAAAGATTTACAAAAATGGTGCTAAAAGCTACCTTGTTTGACACTCAGCATTAAGTGGTTAGTGTTACGACTGGTCTGCCTGGTGCCATGATAATGGTGGCGCTCACCTGTTATTATGTGCTTTTGAGAGAGTGAAGTTGTTTGCATTTTAAACATGCATAGTGGAGAGAATGTTGGCATACCTATATGCTACTTTCATGTAATGTGGCTGAAATTTCTTTGGATATTGTTCTTTTAGAAATTTTAAATAATCTTAGGACACTGCTAACTTGTGCTCCAAAAATCAACCTGAATTTGTCTAAAGTACACTATTATTGGCAGCTATTAAAATATGGAAAATGAATTTTGCCAAACTAGACAATACCAGCTTCTAAAAGTACAATGAATGAATTACCAAATACATAAAATGTAAAAAAAAAGTTATCGGCTCTATTTTTTACAATTTACCTCTGAAGTTCGAGAAGTGAAAATGTGCAAGTAGAGCTAGCACTTTTTTGAAAGGTGCATATCTGGAGTAAGGCCAAGCTGCATACTCTCTAACCTATATTACGCCCATCAATCATACATCAAAATAAAGGGAATTAAAGGATCTTTGAACAATACCTAAGATATACAAAGTCTCTTTTTAATAGTCAGTATAACTAGTGAGGAAACCTGGGAAACTCTTTTCTTTAAAATTCTAACCCTATGCTAAATACGAAACTGTAAAGCACGACCATAAAAACAAATATAAACATTTATGCAATTATTTTTCTTATTTTCTTATTATTATGTATGATGTTCTGAGTAAAATGGTACATTAACATTGATTTTATTCATGAAAATAAGCTAATTATGCTTTTTTTTTGCTCTAGCATACATAATTTGCCATGATGCATGTTTGGGTGAGTAGTGACCTTCATTATGGGGAAATTAGAAGTCTTAGAATATAGGAATAAAGTCAACTTAAATTGAAAATTTGCATTAAATAAAAGAAATACATAGTGAAAATGTTTCTTTTCATTTATTTGCAATGAAATTAAAAAATGTTAAAACAAATTTGCTTTCTTCCATATCAAAGAATTAGTTAATATTTTACCCTTTGACCGTTATAAACCTCACCTGTTATATCCCTTTTCTAACTTTTAAAATTTATTGTTGACATCTCAGGAATAAATATGGCTAGTTTCATGTTCCTGTCTATCAGCATAACACTGGTTACTATGTTGACAAAATGCGATGCACATTTTTACAATATTTAACTTTTTATCATAAGGAGGAAAGGCTGAACCTGTTTGAGACTCTGACTCTAATAAATGCTGTTCTGAGGGGGGAAATACAGGACAGTTATTACAAAGAACTGTTTTGATGCTTGCGACTTAAATATTTCAGCCATACAATCAAAATTAAATCATACAATAATAATACCTATATACTCTTTACAGTGGCGCTCACCAGTTATTATGTACTTTTGAGAGAGTGATGTATGTAAAGTGAAGTTGTTTGCATTTTAAACATGCATAGTGGAGAGAATGTTGGCATACCTATATGCTACTTTCATGTAATGTGGCTGAAATTTCTTTGAATATTGTACTTTTGGAAATTTTAAATGATCTTAGGAGACTGCTAACTAAAATGACTGCTCCCTTGTGCTCCAAAAAACAACCTGAATTTGTCTAAAGTACACTATTATTGGCAGCTATTAAAATATGGAAAATGAATTTTGCTAAACTAGACAATGCCAGCTTCTAAAAGTGCAATGAATGAATTACCAAATACATAAAATGTAAAAAAAGTTATCGGCTCTATTTTTTACAATTTACCTCTTAAGTTCGAGAAGTGAAAATGAGCAAGTAGAGCTAGCACTTTTTTGAAAATTCTAACCCTATGCTAAATGCGAAACTGTAGAGCGCCACCAATGTGACTGGGTGGAACATCATGCTATATGTCTGCAGCATGTGATGGCCCAGTGCTAGACATCACTACCATCACTAGACATCTGCCACACTGCAGACATTGTAGAGATATAATTGAAAAATTGTTAAAGCTACATTAAAAATCTAAACCATACACACACTATGCCTGTCTTTATCTGCCATATTGTATTTCGCAAACACTGTATATCATCTTTGTAATATTCAATCATGCTGAATAGGAAAGCAGAGTATTCTGAATTTTCTCTACGAAAGACAAGAAAACAGAACTGGAAGGACAATTGTACCGTCTTGTTTACATTTGTGAAACCATCTGGAAAAGGAGAAAACTTTAGGTTTTGCAAATTGTGTAATATGATGGAGGCCAAAAACAATTCTCAACAACTGTAGATTCATATTTATTGAGTCTAAATACAGCCTAAAACAATTCTCAACAACTAGATTCATATTTATTGAGTCAAATAGTAATATGATTTATTCAAAAGATCAAGAGGATGATTTTGTCTATACAAATTAATATATATATATATATATATATATATATATATATATATATATATATATATATATATATATATATATATATGCACATACACACAATACAACATAATTTATAACATCACAGTAAGTGATCCGGTCCAGCAACAAACAAAACACTACATTACATTGTTTTGAATGACTATTGCACAAGGACATTGTTTTGATTGACTATTGCACACATAGGAATGCAAAAGTTTTGTTTAAAACACACAAAAAATAGCCAAAATGTCCACTCAAAAATTAACCAAAAGCCATACAGCTTTACATTCAAAATTGATTTCTTTCAACTCGCTAGAATGTTTGTTATATTCACTTTTTATCAATCAATGTTAATATCTGAAGCATCTTAACACTCAATGCATTGTTAACGACATTTTGTTATACAAAATAACAATTACCAACATAATCAGAGCATATGATGTACAGGTAGGTGATAAATAAAACCTCAACACATGCACACAAAATCTGAAACTGATGATATACACAGAATACAATATGCCTTTTTGAATGCAAGACACTCTTGGCACATAATGTAATTTGTTTAAAAAATTTCATATCATGAATGCTAATATGAGATCTGCTTAGAAGTAGTTTGCATTAAGCAGTTTTCAATAGATTCTTTGATGTATTGTATAACATGTATTATATAACACTGAAATGAAGAAAGCAAAGTTAAAACCATGGACAGGAATGTACTTGTTTAAGGAAATATTTTGGAAAGACAAAAATACACATGCTGTAGTAATTCAACACAAAGACTATCAAGAATATGGTCCATGTGGTAATCTTAAAAGTGCCACAACTGCATTGGACAGAATACACTAATGCAAATAAATACACTAGAAGGTTCCTGTTAAAAGGTGAGTTTGGTCATGTGATTTGTTTCAGTTAGTGTAAGAAAAATTACATGTGTAATTCATTATAAAGTCATCTAACCATAGTGGTATATACTCTATGCCTCCCTTAGACAATGTTTTGAGGGTTTTCTCTACAAATCTATTTACAGTGTTTTGAGGGAGTAGTCAATATTCAGTAATTTCACATGTTGAAATAGGACAAAAAGAGTTGTGAGTTAACAGTCATGTGATGGCTGTCAAGAGTTATACATGTTCTTTCAGAAACTATTTTAAATGTGGGTGGGTGTCTATTTATTTCATGTATACACTGAAAGTAAAACATCAACATATGAACTCACATGTACACTTTTAAATTTCCTCTGCTGTGATGTTTATATTCATCTATACTTACTACACAATCATCAATGTAATCCTGAGCAAACTATTTTCTTCAGAAATATGTACAAATGCAAATCATACTGTTCATTATAATAAATATAGTACTAAGGATCATTTTACGTAATAACAATGTAAACTTAATGGAAAAAAATGAGCATACAATAATAATGTACTTTATACATTGGTAATAATACAGACACTTGTACATTCATTTATTAAATTTTTCATCATTAAATATCACTGAAAGCCATGTATTGATAAAATTCTTGCTTAAAAAATGTTTAAGTAGCATATGTAATATGTACTCGCAAGTTAAGTCAAGTCACAAACTGCATAGACTCAGACCCACTATCACAAAGTTTGCAGCAGATCTAGGTCTATGTAGTTTGTTAGAAGTAATCAGTACAACAAAAAATACAAACACTGGATTGCTGGTGCATTATGCTATGGCAAATCAGACTATGCTGTTAGCAATTGGACCACATTTATAAGCATGTCTTTACAGTATTTATCCCCTGACAAGTCCACCTTCATTTATATAAAATTTTGGTTTGAGTTTCATGGGTTGAACACCATTATTCAGCACATGATTGGCTCTATGTGGTGGCCAATATAGCTGGTGATGAAGAACCTGGGAAGCTCTCTAACATGCCCACTTTGATTGAGCCATTACTTAACTCATTAACCCCTGGAGGTTTTTGTCGTTTTTGCCTGAAATGCAAGTATGAAAAACATTTTGGGGCCTATTTCTGAATACATTCTATACATCAACTTCCAAGAGGTTTCTGGTTAACTTAATGCTTAATTGTGTTAGAAACATCCTTTTTCATTGCTAATTTCACTGGTGTATGACCAAGGGAGTTCTTTTTTTTTTTTTGCTTAATGGACACATCATTTTCATATCCAGACCACTCTTTTATTCCAAATACCCATCTTATCCTACTTATTTTGCAAAGGTTTGCCTGTCTGTGTGTGTGTGCAGTTCAGACCAGTCTGCCTTAGATCTGAGACCAAAAATCTAAATTCTAAATTCCAGACACGAAATTGGATTCTGACCAGAGACGAATTTTTGGTGGAAAAAAAATCAAGTCTAAAAAATTACATTTTTCCTCTGTATTTTGTAGTGCAACTAGAACATCCAGATTATTTGGTAACATTGTAGAGCTATATATGTCCACCTTTTTATAGCACAGCATCCACTTTAGCATATCTTAAATGCCCTTGATGCTACAGAACTCGGAAGTAGGGTACCACCTCCTGAAGTGCAATGAAGTACCAGGGTCTAATGAGTTAATCTAATGTGGACAGA